ATTCTTTTATTTCAGTACTCCTGAGTCTTAAAGAAATGCACGAGGCATTTTTAATCAATAATGGAGAATATTTGTTGCTCAAGGTTGAAATGAGAGGTGATTGGAACTCTCTGAGCTTGGTTGCTTTCTTGCAGATGTTTGGTTACCCAAACTAGGTAACATCACCCACTGATGGTATTATACCTAGTTTGGGTATAATTAAACATCTGCAAGAAAGTCAACCAAGCTCAGAGAGTTCCAATCACCTCTCACTTTTATTCTTTTAGAAACGCCTTTTCCAATATTGTGCTGGCAAGTGGCATTGCATTCTTTCTTGCCTGTTCTGCATTTTAATCACCTGCTGTGCCCACTTAAGCCAGTTCCGCTTGATCAAACACCAGGGCTGTGTTCACACACTGCCCTTCACCTGGTTTCTGAATTAACCCATTTTCTGGAAGGAGAATCACCCCAGGACCCCGAAAGGATCCAAATTGCTGGAGTTCACACAAGGCGTGCAGCTATCTCAAAAAAAACCAACGGTTCACATTCCCCAAGCTTGGCATATGGCAGGGGAAAAAAGCAAAAGTAGTTTTTTTTTGGGGGGGGGGTTGTTGTTGTTTTAAGTGGCGTAGTTAGGCATGCTTGACTCCAGCCAAGAGACCACACCTTCATTGAAAAGTATTACTTAGCTTATGAGTAAATTTTAGAATATTATTAATAATTTATTGTGGATGAATTTATATTATTTTTAGTAATAATGTTTAATTATATTATTATTTTGCTGGAAAAGTGTTAAGATCTATCTATTTTGTAGAGTTAAAGTAGGTGTGGATGAGACTTGACTGTAGTATATCTGGGTAATGTTATTTAATTTATGATTCTGTTTTTATAACCCTGTAATCAGCTCTGGGAAGCGAAGGGGGGGAGGGGGGGAGGGAAGTGGGATATTGTATGGAAAATTATTTAAAACTTTTAATAAAAAAAAATAGAGACCACACCTTCAAAGCTCAAGAAGGAACAGAGATTTCAGTTTTGGGGGGGGGGTCCCAATCAGAAAATTTTGCAATGGAAGCACCTTTCCTCGTTTTATTAAAAACGCATCGGCTCTCTGCTCACTTCACCAGATGCCTCTGTGAGGGGCAGCTCCTAAAAGTTTGTGCCTTTTAATAAAATGTATCTGGGGGGAAACGGCACTATCAGACGCGCCCTCGGTTCTTTTTTTCCCCTCTCTCTCTCTCTCTCTCTCTTGCCAGGTAAATTAACACAGCTCTCCTTGGAAAGGAGTTC